CTTAGGCAATTTGAAAATGAGCTCAGTGCCGAAGTTGTTGGAGTCCAAACGGCATTAGCCCCTCGTTGCTCTACTAATGGCGATCGGGTAAAGATTGTTTTAGGGAGGGAGCAACCAGTGATGGAACACCGCGGGTGCGAACCGCTGATTGCGACCCGACAAATGCGGGAGTGTGTGGTGTTTTTGAAAGATCTCACTTCACACCTATCATGCCTCTTGGGGAGACTTGCCTGTGGGGTCGCCTGACTTAATTGCTCTCTCGCTTACTCCTGACCTTCCCTCTACTTGACGATTACATCATAATAACTGATTATTTATTGCTGATTCTTTAGCAAATTTTGAAAGAACTAGAAGTATTAGGTTGACCCATAAGTAATGGCGTTTGTCACACAAATTCTTATGGAAAATGACAAATGTTGCCTATTAGATAATTGCCATTTAGATAATACTTTGTAGATAATTTTCGCACTATAAGATAGTATAATTGCCTTCTTACTATTTCTCGACTTGTGTCGATTTTTATTTCATTGAAAGGGAAATTCGGGTCGACCCAAAAGTGAGTTTTCGACAACTACTTTTTGAATTTTATCTCGGCTCTCAATCTACAGAAGAAGCTCAAACCTTGTGGTATATATGACCAAAGAAAGATGCGTCTTATGACAGCTTGAAGTTGGTTCAAGCGATCAAGAGGTGGGAATTCGGACCTTGTAAGAGCACCGCAAAGGGGTGGGACCCTCTTGGGGAAGAACTGCCTGCAGAACCTACCCTTTATTTAACGAATGTCTGACATCAACTGAGCGTGTTGCTTGATAATGATAAGGAGGCATTGTATGACCTTTAACGATCTCTCAGTCATTGGCATGATTCTCAGCGAGGTAATTCCACAAGCTCTCAGTTGGACGTTAGGTCCGATACTTGTCTGTGAGGTCGAAGACGAAATCTCTGAATCACTAAAAGTATTGTTGCATTCCTGAGTAGCATAGCCTTTCAGCTATATATTTAGCAGCTGGGCCCATGCGGTTTCAGCTTTTTAATTAGAGGTATAAAAGAGAGGCTGTCGAAAATGCTCAATTTCGTCGACCTGACACTCCAGTTTGAGCACTTAAATATTATGGAAAGAGAAACTTGGAGAAAACTAAGAAGACTATCGTGTAGGCAGGGCACGCCATTGCGTTGTGATCATTTCCTGAAAAATACGACCCCCCCCCTAATTCCATCCTCAAGTACGACCCCCCTCCCCATGCTACCTTCCACTTTCCTAGATTCTCCCAACCTCCTACCACTTTGTCTATTTTTTCCCAAAAATTTCTGGTTTTTTTACAAAATTTTGCTGTCGAGCGGGGGGGGGTCGCAGTACCTACGTACGTCCCAAGCACGTCCAGCACTCTGGCGCTGGTGTAGCATACTGACAATACGTACGAGGAAGGGGCGATGGTAGGAGCTACGATGACCGCCCACAAGGGCACCATATCTATAAATAAACCAAAGGACTCACGACGTGACGATCAATAAACAGATGAAAGTACATTTTCAGACCTTTCTGATCGCAGGAACACATGTGCTTGCGCTTAGGAAGCCCTATCTAGAAGTTGCACCTTCCCAACACCTCTGCCTGAAAGCCCTATGCATGGCGCATTGCAGAGGTGATGCCAATTAGAGCCCAATGAACTATTACCTGATATACTTGACGAAAACATGCGTTTTAGAAGCATACCAATGTCTTAAAGCCAACTGGAGATTTTCTGGCGTCGGAGGGGTTGATTTTTCGGGCCGTGGGGAGTGGTTTTTTTATGATCACAACGGGGAAATTTTTCGAATAGCAGGCCTAGCGATAAAATGAAAGTTGTGCTGGAAAGTAGAAAGCTTCGTGCGTCCGGCACAGTTCTTTTTTCGAAAGGCCGTGTATGAAGCTTGCCATGGATGTCCAAAGCGTGGCGACTTGTGGTTGGCCCCCCATGATCACAAGAGGATCACAAGAGGATCACAACGGTGAACTTTCTAGAAAGGAAATGTTTCAGAAATCGTTCAATCCAGGTAACAAGAGCCAACCTAGCTCTACTCATTCCCACTTCCCCCTCTCCGAGAGTTTTACTTTCAACGAAGTTATGGTGTTCAAAAGAGGGGTACTTTTCGAGTGTTTGGCTTGAAATTGGCTCCAGGTCGTAAAATAGCGCGCACCAATGCGCTTGTATTAGCGTGGGAATCGCACTCCTCGCACGCCATCAGTTCGCAATTCAGCGTCTACGTTGGCGTCCTACCAGTGTTGGTCGATCGATTACGAGAATTAAGGCGATAAGTGGACGAGTTGTCCGACCCAAGAAAACGGCTGCACAGGCTCAGTGGAGGTGGCAGTTGCGGCCAGCAGCGTCCCAGGAACGATCTGATTCAGTGTTAGGTGGGCGCCCCATTCAACCGCCTCCCACTTGCGCCCTACTGAATAATCGTTATTGTTTCGACGCCAGCGCGCGTCAAGGAATAATAGCGGGTCAACCTCCATGACTCTGTTCGGAGATCCATTTTGCAGATGTTGAAGAAAGGTTTGAGCTCAGCCTCTCAAGACGCATATGTCCATGCACGTCACATTGCGAATGGTTTTACTAATCTGTTGACCTTTCCCGGTTTAGCCGATTGGATTCATCCAATGGATTAGTGGCTTAATGTGTGTGAATTGCCATTTTCGTCTTGTTAACTACATCGTTTAGGTCACTGTACTTCTTGGACACAATGGCGCTGGTAAAAGCACGACTTTCTCGGTTATCTCCGGAATCACGGCCCCAACAGCAGGTGCAGTCTGCTGAAAGCACATTGCGCAGATGGAATTGTTCGAATTGAACAGTTGTTCCTGGTCATGAACAGGAACAGTCTTTTTTGTTTCACGTCGATCGCAATGACTTCCAGGAAAAGTCTGCATCTACGATCTCGACATACAAAAGCAACGATCAGCGTGTCGTAAGCGTATCGGTTTGTGCCCGCAAGCTAACGCCCTCTTCGAATCGTCTGAACAGTCAGTGAGCACCTCTGGTTCATCCACGGTCTCAAAGGAGCTGATGGTTCATACTTGGATGAAGGGCAGCAACTGCTCGAAATGCTCAAATTGAATGAGAAATCCAATGAGGTTTGTCTGATTCTGCCGATGACCAAGGAAAATTAGAGAATTCATTGTTGCTTGCATTGCGCTATCCTCCTTCACTGAGTGATTTGCTGCTACACAATACATTCAGCTTTCGAAAAATCTTTCCGGTGGTCAGAAGCGCAAACTCTGCGTTTCGATGGCTGTGATCGGCAACAGCTCAATAGTGCTACTAGACGAGCCGACTGCTGGCATGGACCCAGGGGCCCGACGAGATGTTGAGGCGCTTCTGGAGACTATAAAAGTAGATCGGTAAAGGATGTATCACTACTGAGTCCTTCAAGTTCGGAGCATTGGACAATTTTTAGAACGGTACTGCTCACCACGCATTATATGGACGAAGCGGAGCTATTAGGGAGATCGAGTTGCTATAATGGCCAAAGGTCGACTGTACTGTTGTGGAACGCCGCAGTTTCTGAAAAAGAGGTCAGTGGGAGCTGAAGTTCACGCATTGCCGTAGATTTTGTTTGGCCGGGTTCACCTAGAAAGAAGAATCCGGTAAATGAAGGAGATAGCAGCTATGGGGTCATCCCATTCGAAAGTGCCGAAGATCTTATTCATATAAAACGAAGAGAAAACAGATAGAAAAGTAATATTTTGGCTTTGAGTTAAGTAGATCCCTCCTTCACCAATGACCCGCTCCCAGGCCCCGAAAGCGTTTGGACCTCTGGTACCTTCGGTTTTTCAACAAGTGCGAGTAAATTGCTGTTGCTGCCAATTCGGCGAATGACAAAACATTGTGCGTTTGCCGTCGGAGAGTACCCTGGACTGACCAGATCAGTTGCCGTCGAACGGCTTTATGTTTAATCTTGCTGTAGTGAGTAGAACGGCGAAGCTCTTCTTTTCATTGAATCTTTATTACGTGACAACGTTTCGGGCATAAGCCCTTCTTCAGGTCACTCGATCTTAAATCACAGCATTTGCCCTTACAATGTTACAGCACTAATAGAGTGAACATAGCAACAACCCACACTGTGTAGAAGGGAGAAGGAGCACAAACTCCGTCAAGCCTCTCTACTTGGCAGTATAGATAGAAATGAAAGTGGTAGGAATGGGACTATTTATAAGGGTGCGGGACAGGGGTGATCTAGAATTAGTCACGTATGTCTCCATTGTGCACGTCTTATACTACCAAGTAGAGAGGCTTGACGAAGTTTGTGCTCCTTCTCCCTTCTACACAGTGTGGGTTGTTGCTATGTTCACTCTATTAGTGCTGTAACATTGTAAGGGCAAATGCTGTGATTTAAGATCGAGTGACCTGAAGAAGGGCTTATGCCCGAAACGTTGTCATGTAATAAAGATTCAATGAAGAGAAGAGCTTCGCCGTTCTACTCACTACAGCAAGATTAAACACAATGAAGCTCAAGGAACCATCGATTCTGAATAGGCTTTATGTTGGGCGAATGGGGCGATTGAACCCAGGTCTCAGTATTGTTTGTGTCCCAGCACTGCCCTACAATACAGTTACTCGGGGTCTGGCACTATGACGAGCAACGGTGGCCTTCTTGTAGTTGTGTCCTATCATCATTTGTCGTTCAGTGTATAGAGCTGCCTTAAAGCCACAGTGTGGGAATCCTTCGCTATGATGATCATCCACTTGCGCCCACGTAACTCCTCATGGTAGAACTCGGGCGGCTTCTCATTCATACAAAATTGACGATTGTGAGTTTTGGCTTGAAGTTCAAGACAAGACACCCACATTTCATCAAGGGCGGAGGTGCGTTTTCACAGTCGTGATGGTACTGGCATAGAATCGGAGAAGGGTTCGTGCTTCTACAAAAAAATTAGGTACCCATGCGCACACCCTCTTGACCATCCTCAGTTTATCGGACATAACTCGGGCAGCAGTTGCAGCAGGGATGTCAGTCTCGCGGGGAAGCTCGACAAGGGTTCCAGCCTCTGTGATCAGACATTCAGCGCTTGACTTCATCCACCCTTTTTCTTGTACAGTATGAACATTATGAGACCATCCACGACAACAAATTTTTTCCTTTCTTCCTTCTTCGAGCTCCTGAACCAAATCTTCCACCTTGCATTTCGAGAACACCATTACACACAACTACTGGTCCGGCACAGGTCAAATTTGAGCAGCGCACTTTCCTCTTATGACGCTTGATTTGAAAACCCGCTGCTCATTTCGAACACTCGGACTTGGTTTTCCTTTGATGGAGTGCCCTCATTTAACTATTCAGATTCGGAACCGGCTACGTGATGACGGTTGTGGTTGCCGAGAAAGCTAGAGCTACGGATGTCGCTGAAATATTGACTGGCATTGCCAAGAAATACGTTCTTGAAGCAGAAAAAGGCAAAGTGCACGGAAAACAATTCGAAATTATTCTACCGAAGGAACATCAAGAGAAGTGAGGTTTCGAACGGCTTCTGTGTCTCTTCTCCCACAGATATTTACCCCTGTACTGCGGGCAAAGATGCGTGTGGCCGCTAGCTTGCGACCGTGAAGAAATGCAGAAATGCGGAAAGTGCAGAAGTGCGGAATCTGCAGAAATGACGAAAAGCATTACATACGTATCGATCTGAAGAAATGCAGAAATGCCGAAAGTGAAGAAGTGCGGAATCTGCAGAAATGCCGAAAGTGCGGAAAATCGATACGTATCGGTTGCTTTTCGTCATTTCTGCAGATTCCGCACTTCTGCAGTTTCGGCATTTCTGCATTTCTTCAAATCGATACGTATGTAATGCTTTTCGTCATTTCTGCACTTTCCGCACTTCTGCAGTTTCCGCATTTCTGCATTTCTTCAAATCGATATGTATACAATGCTTTTCGTCATTTCCGCAGATTCCGCATTTCTTCATTTCTGCATTTCTGCATTTCTTCATGGTCGCAAGCTATTAACGCGGCCTATCAGGCGGAATGCGTTGGCGCGACGCTGAACCTTTTCTTGGCCACTTGCTGAAGGGGGTAAGCGACAACAGCTCATGGAAATTGACTGATACAAACGGTATGACACCTTCTTTTCGCTTTCCCGCCTCGACCTCGGGTGGAAAACGAATGTGACCCCCGCCAGACCCATCCGTGTCTGTTCTTAAAAATTCTCACTTCACAGCCCTTGCAGACTAGCCTGTGGGGTCGCCTCACTTAAAGGCAGCGCCCACGTTCATTTGATGTTCCTACGCCCTCCTTAGATATCGTAGCTTTGTCGACAAGGGTGGAGGATGTACTAATTTCAGCTCAAAAATACGAGAGGATGGCGCCACCCGCTTGTGAAGAGGATGCCGCCCCGCCCACTTGGCTGCCATAACTGCTTTGGCTTAACCTTTAATGCTGAGCTCGCTTCCAAGTATATTGAGTTAGAGCGCGTTCAGACTTCGCGAACGGACGATCGGATCGCTCGACTAGAATCGCGCGATCCCCCTCCCCACACTTCACAACGTTCCTGAAACAAGAAAAATCAACTGTCAGAAGTTTTTCAGGCCTAAATACGACCCCCTCTTCCAGCGACCAAACGCGATTCCCTGTTGGAGAAACCCGAAAAACGATGTGCCCTGACACAGATCATGCGTGTTCCCGGTACTCTCTCATGTTAGCTCTCGCTTCGTGGCACCTTTTCAGTCTGCGCTCTCCTGTTCTCTCGGTACTTTCCCACGGACCAGCGTGGGAACGACCTTTGCAGCCATCTGCACCTTTTTCTAGTATAATCTCATTGTTTTAATTAACTCTCCGTTACCTCCCAATCGCGCGATCCGATCGAGCGATCTGATCGTCCGATCGCGAAGTCTGAACGCGCTCTTATGGAGCTTATATTATACGTGATAAAGTAGAGGAGAAAAAGCAGAAAAAAAATCCTGGAAAATGCTCCTACATAGAACCGGATGCTGACTAGGTGGGCGGGGCGGCCGACTCTCGCCTTTTTGAGATACAAAACTAGTACATACTGCATCCTCATAGGGAGGGCTATGATATCCAGAGAGGGCGCGGGAACATCAAATGAACGTGGGCGCTGCTTTTAAGTGGTCCCTCTTAGACTCCTCACATTTTCTCGACTTGAATTACATCATAAGTTGAAGAAATTCCATCACTAGGCATCCTACTATATGTATCGGCTATGTCCGTGCGTGTGTGTGCGTGTGTCTGTTTGTCACGAAATTCGTAGCACGTGAAGAAGAACTCGGAGAGGTGGGGTCATGGTGGGGAATTTTTTTTAGTGACACCGGAACCACCGCCCGTTTCTAGTACGCTCCGCCCGTTTCGGATGTGTCTCCTCCTCTTGATGGGTCAACCCTTTGCTAACCTTAATCCACTTTTCCACCGTCTCGGGACTGCTTTGAGCCGAATAATGAATTTTTTCAGTAGACGGCTAACTTTCAATGCAGCCCCGCCCACTGTGTGCGGGGCTTACCATATGTTATGGTTGCTCTTTACATTTGTCAATGCCCTAAACATCTCGAATTTGATCCCACCTGTCCACGTTGTTTTTCTGGTGGAACCGAATTTCCTTGAGAAAGTCCCACAACCAGCCCATCCACGCTTGAGACGCCTGTCATCCGCAGTTACAAGACTGTTTTTCTCAAGTGTCATAAATAACTTGTCGAACTACGCACATTTGACCTTCTTGAGTCATTCTCATCTTTCTTTCTTATAAACTTTCTGAAATTCATTATTTCTTCCCTTTCCCTTACTGGAAGAGCACAGGATGGAGGACTATGCTCTTGCTCGGCTTCCGCCCAAGGGCTTGTGCGGAAAATCTCTATTCTTTCGGCTCCCTCCCCTCAATAATTTTCATACATCCAATTTTCTAGTCCAATAATTTTCATTTCCAGTGATTTTCCTTTGTAACAAATTTTTGTACTTTAACGTTTTTTTTCGACCTCATTCATCTCCTTTGGCAACATTTCTCTTGGTAGTAATTGTCAATGCATCAGTCTGTGACTCCTTTAGTCACATAATGAATGTTTCACTCTTTGCAGTTTCCCTCAACTCTTCGAATATTTGGAGGAGTTTAAGGATTCTTTGAAGATCTCCAGTTTTGGCTTGTCATTGAACACCCTGGAGCAGGTGTGCTTTCTCTTTCGATGGCGTGAAAAGTTTTCTTGCTGTTTTCATAGATGAAACATCACCGAGTTATTCAGGTGTTCCTCAAAGTTGCCCAAAATACTGAGCCACCTACCACTAGGATCAGTTCGGTCGGTGCGAGTAGTGAACGTAGCGAAGAGTTGATTCGAGCACTACAAGGTGAGCTCACAAGAGTTCGAAAAAAAAAAGACATCCGACTTCAAGTATCCTATAGCGATCGCAAAAGG